CCTGCACATGCAGCCAGCTGGGTGACCTTGGGTCAGGCACAAGTTCTCTTGGAGCTGTTCTCTCAGGAGCAGTTCTCCATAGAGCTCTCTCAGCCCCATCGACCTCCCAGGGTGTCTGTTGTGGGAAGGAGAAGGGAAAGGTGTTTGTAAACCGCTCCGCCTCCTCTTTTTTCTGTCGACACCATATAACTTGACATCGGAAGCCAAACTGCAGGAAAACGAGGGATGAGAACTGTATTATCATTTTGTTGAATATGATAAGAGGTCTTTTCCATAACACAGAATCTCCTTCTTTCATCAAACCGTAGAGAGAGAGGGATGGGGGCGATTTGTCCTTCCATCTTGTACCTATTGCCACTCCGGCAGCTGCTAATAGAAAGTTTTTAATCAAAGTTTTGGCTGACCAAGGTTGGTCCGCACCCAGCCCATAATGATAACAGCAGAAGTTCTGGCCGCATCGGTCGGGAGGCGTCGCACTCACTATCAATCCCTCTCTCTGCTCTCAGGCTTCCGCCGGAGGGAAGAAGCGGAAACGGAAGCGAGTGCTGAAGTCCAAAACTTTCGTCGACGAGGAAGGCTGCATAGGTAAGCGACGGGGGGCCGGCTTGGTTGAAGAAACACGGTTCTTTAATCTTAACGCGTCTCAGTTAATGGGTGGGTTAAATCGAGGGCACGTCACCCATCCCAGAGTGAGCCCTGTGCTGTCCCAGCACATGGATTTCCCGCGTGGCTGTTCTAAAGGAGAAGACGCCGTTGTCCCTGAATAGAGGGAAGAACGTTGTTGCCCAGCTGAAGGAATGGGGCAGGTTCACTCAAGAAGGCCAAGGGGGTTTCTACCCCGCCCTTCACTACCCAAAGGAGTCTCAGAGCAGCTTACAATCTCCTTTCCCTCCCCACAACAGACACCCTGGGAGGTAGGTGGGGCTGAGAGAGCCTGACAGAAACTGCTCTTTTTCAAGGACAGCTCTGAGAGAACTTGTGACTGACTCAAGGTCACACCAGCAGCTGCAAGTGGAGGAGTGGGGAATCAAACCCGTTTTTCCCAGATTAGAGTCCGCGCACTTAACCACTACACCAAACTGGCTCTCTTGAGATTGAACTGAGAATGACTTTAAGTCTGAAGAGGATCTGTTGGGTAGGGGCACGGGGGAGAGCCAGTTTGGTGTAGTGGTTAGGAGCATGGACTCTA